TTTTTTTTTTTTTTTTTTTTTTTGAGACAGAGTTTCGCTCTTGCTACCCAGGCTGGAGTGCAATGGCGCGATCTCGGCTCACCGCAACCTCCGCCTCCCGGGTTCAGGCAATTCTCCTGCCTCAGCCTCCTGAGTAGCTGGGATTACAGGCACGCGCCACCATGCCCAGCTAATTTTTTGTATTTTTAGTAGAGACGGGTTTTCACCATGTTGACCAGGATGGTCTCGATCTCCTGACCTCGTGATCCACCCGCCTCGGCCTCCCACAGTGCTGGGATTACAGGCTTGAGCCATCGTGCCCGGCCCATATTTAATTTTAAATCATGATGAATCATGGGTATAAAGATTATTTTTAATGCAACCAAGATGTTAATGTGCTTGTAATTTTATAATTGAAAAAATGTAAATGACAACTAGAGGCATTGTGGAAAGTGTATGGGAAGAGGTTGAAAACTAGGGAGCCCAGTAAAGAGGTTACATTAATAGTCCATATGGGAGACGATGAAGTTCTGGTTAGTCATAATGAGAATAGAGCAGAGAGAAAATTTTATGTAGTATGTCACCAGATTTTTTAAAGACTTAGTGACTGACCAGAAATCAAGGATATCTCAAACATTTCTATATAAATGATTGGAAATATAGTGATGCTAAGGTGGAAGCAATTTGTATGAGGATCAAATTTGAGCTAGACATGGTGGATCATGCCTGTAATCCCAGCACTTTGGGAGGCTGAAGTGGGATAATCTCTTGAGACTAGGAGTTCAAGACCAGGTAGGGCAACATGGTTAAACCACATCTCTACTAAAAATACAAAAAAGTAGCTGGACATGGTGGCTCATGCCCATATAGTCCCAGCTTTTCAGGAGGCTGACTTGGGAGAATCACTTGAGTCCTGGAAGTGGAGACAGCAGTGAGCCGAGATTGCGCCACTGCACTCCAGCTTGGGTGGCAGGAGTAAAACATTCTCTCTTAAAAAAAAATGATGGGGAGAGAGTTTGATTTTGGAATTGGGGGTTTGAGGTACCTAAACATACATGGTTAAACTGTAAGTATAGTCCCTCTGTTTATGAGTGAAGGAGTTTGGAGCCAAGGGAGTACATGAAAGGGCTGAAGATTGCTTTTAAGAAGTGGAGATACTGGCATCCCCATCTTCATCAGACCAACTCCTGGTTAAAATTGGGGACTTTCAGAAGCTAAGTGATTTACTTATTTATTAATCAATATTTAAAGCACTTAAATGATGAAAAGCTGAGGATGTTTAACTGAATAAAATAATGTCCTTGCTGTTGAACATGATAATAACTGCAAAGCTTTCTCAGAATTTAGTGTCATCTCAGAATTTGGTGTCATCTCAGAAATGGAAAGAGCGTAGGCAGGATGGATTCTTCTTTTAACAAAATGATTTGTTTCTGAGCTGTAAGTATGAAAATTAGCTAACTTAACCAGTTGTAATCTTTGTCCTCTTAACCCCGTTCACATTTGGTACTTTTATTATACTATTTACTATTTTCTCTCAGGTATTAAATTTATTTGTAGTTCCATCCTTTTTGAGGAGTGCTTTGCCCATAGTACACACAGATAGTGGGTATTACGGATACTTGAATAATTCTGCTCTTAAAAATAGCATCTATAATTTCTATTGTGATAGAAATCTCATTACTGTCATTCATTTCCCTCCTTTTGCCTATTAATGCTTCTAAAGACAATGAGCAGATTCTACGTAAATAGTACTGGGTTTAACAACACAGTAGGTCATGAAACCCCTCTAAATCATTTAGTCTCAGATCATTTCATCTATTAAATCTTTATTTTACTTCATTGTTAAAACTGAGCTGTTCTTCTAAACAAGTAATGAAATAGTGTTGAACAGTTATTTTAAATGTGCTTTTATTTATAAATTTAGGAAAATGGAAACACCAAAATAAAGGAGAAAAGTTCTGTTGTTTCGAGCTGTGGGAAAACATCAGCTGAGCGATGTTTTTGATATTTTAACCCTTTTCTGCCACTCTTACAAAATTAAAACTTAAGCAGTTTTTAGAACCCAATCCATATTTCAAAAACATATTACATGCAGTTGGCACTAGCAGTGCCATTTTAATGTGCTTTTTTCTGTATTTTATACAGATTTTTTTTAAGTTGTAATATTTAACCTCTTTTTATTCTTAACCTTGTGGGAAATAGCATAATAAATGAGTTATTTTTCTCAGTCTTGATATTTCAGTCTATATTTATCATATGGCCTCAGAAGTCCTGAACTTTTACAGTTGGTAAAACTGTAAAACAAAAGAAAAACAAAGAGTACTTTTTCTTTTTACCTTCAGTGGTCTCTGGGGCTGTACTTGGGCTGAGCGTTTCCAGGCACCTGCCATTTGCATCTTCCTCTGTAAATTGTGTGGTAGGTTCATATTGCAGGATTGCATCCAAATCATGGAAGAACTTCATAGTTTTAGAGCTGTCTCCAGATTTATGGGCATATTTAACTGTTCTATATTCATATTTGAGATTTTTGTACTTAGCCCGGCACTGTTTCCAATCTCTGTGTACTCCTAATGATTGCAGCCTTTTAGCAATGTAAATAAATATTCCTTTATTTCTTAGTGTTCCATAAAGTTGTTTTCGTATATTTTTTTCTGCCCAGACACTTAGCAAAGCTTTAACCTCCTCCTTAGTCCAGTGCTTTCCTGCTCCACTCTCCATGTTGAAAATGACCTGGAAATGATTCACTATTTCTAGCCAAGGTTTTGTTTCCTAGGAAACCAGACGGCTGGTTGTCAATAAGCTCCAAAGAGCTGAAAGGATCTAGTTTAACTGGTTCAAGCTGCCTGAGGGAGTAACTTGAGAAACTGCCAAATAAGCAGGCTTTGTGATTAAAGAAGCCTGAACCTAAATGATTCTTAACCATACTCATTTCAGCTTGAAGGAAAAACTTACCCTTGAGACAAAAGGGAAAGAAAACCATTTTTTGTTTATTTCTTTTCTTACATAATTTACTGTTTTAGCAAATGATTATTGATTTTTAAAAATTGTTTTGAACATGGTTAGCAGAGGTTCTTTTTGCCCAGAGGTTTATAGCCAATGTTAATAATATTCCCTCTGACATGAATCACTCAGTCCTCTAACATTGGTTAACTTACAGACCCCACAGCATTTCACTAAATAAAAGACATGCTAAGTCACAATTTATTTAGTTCCATATGGTACATAGTATTATGCACATCTATTTTCAGTATTTAGTGCATTTAACAAAATCATTTCTTTAGGCTTCTCTGTGAGCCATGATTATGCCACTTTTTTTAGAGTTTTACTTGGCAAACGTATTTAATGTTGTAGTTTTTCGAGTTAATAAAACGCTGCAACAGTTGCAATATATAATTTTGAAAAAACTTTCTTTTTACCAAATAAATCAATGTATTAACAGCTACTAAAGTCTACAGGCACATATGGAAGAGGTTTACTTTTTGTTTCTATACTGGTACATATTCTTTGGAACAAACATTGGTCAATAACATCTACAATTTATAGCACTTGTTCAGAACTATTAAAAATTGTAAAGCAGTTGGAACCTTGATAAGAGTATACTGCACAGTGGTGCGGATGCTCTTAGTGTTTACTATGTCTTGCCCTACCTTCAGTCTAATTTTGGCCTTTTTCTGTGTATCACCACTTAAAAACACTGAGGCAGGAAATCAGACACAGACATGGGAAAGGGTGCCTGGTCAGTAGAGGGTTTTCAGAAGCGACATTAATTTTTTTCTGATAACAAAAGTGCTATTTATTGGAAAACATTTGGAAAATGCAGAAAAGCACAAAAAAAATGGTTACAGTTTCAGTACCAACTATGCCTCTATTATATTTGGAGATTTTCATTTACATCTACATACTCATCCTGTTGAGACCATATTTAGAGGTGAAAAAGTATAGGGGTTAGAAGCCGGAGCTGGATCATCCGAGTTCTAATCCTGGCTATACCATTGTCTGTGTGACAATGAGAAAGTAACTTCCTTTCTATTGCTTTAGTGTGTTTATCTATAAAATGGGTGTGGTAATCATAGTACCTACTTCATAAGATTGTTGTGAAAGCCAAATCAGATCACTCATGCCATCAACCTAAATAATTAAAAGGATCAGAATCTACTTTAAAGAGAGTTTATTCAAGTACCAAGTTTGAGGATGACCCACCTGGAAACACCAACTGCAAGGAATGGAGTCAGCATTGCCAAGTAGGAAAGTTAAGGTTTCGTTTCATAGTAGAGACAGAGGAGTTTTTAGCAGAATCACAACATTTTTCATATATGGTTAGCGCACAGTTACAGCAGTTTGGTTATAGGCAGCGTTTCTTTTGGGAAGGGTACCTTTAATATTTTTTACAGAGGATGTAATTGTGAATGCGTTTTCTTTCATTTGGTCTAAGCAAAGCAGGACAACAAAGTAGAAGTTAATCTTTCACAAAGGTCATCAATTGAGAAGGCAGGAGGTTATTGTCTCTGGTGTCTTTTAATTCTCTCTAGTCACTGTATAGAACAAGAAAAATAAGAAAGTGAGTTAATCTGTAATCTGAGAAACAAGTTGTAACCATATGTGACTCGGATCACAGTTATCTCTCTCTGAAGGCTTAAAGTATATTTGGGTTTCCAGCAGCTTTTATTTATTTTTACAACGTGAAATGCTTAGGACAGACTACCTGGCATGTTAGAATTAGATAAGATATCTAATTGTTACATTATCATCTGCGATTGCTGATCATCAGCATCAGCATCATCAATAAAAGTAGTGCTAGTACAAGTAGCATTTAATGTGTTGTCACACTAAGTTCATAGGTGCTTGTTGAGAAAGTATGCTTGATAAAGTTCTTCAAGAAGCTTATCCATCAGCAGATTTAACAGCCAATATCTTTTTATATTCACAGGGGTCAGGAGAGTGCTGGTATTGTGACTAGTGACGGCAGTTCAGTGCCAACATTCAAATCACACAAGGTAAATTTGAACATTAGGAAATGTTGATGACAAAGATAACAAAAGACAGATGATCATTAATATATGGGGAGGGGCAAGTTGAATAAGTAATCTGCAGTTGAAAGTAATATTCTTTGGATCAGCCACTTTCAACTTTATATCCTAACATTTGTCAAATAGGATGTATTTCTTTCCCGGTGACAATTTTTTGCTTCAGACCGACTCACTCAAATAGGGAATTATATATTCAAATGCTTTAAGATGCTTTGACTTTTTTAATGCAAATTTTAGTTTTTATACTTGATAAATTTTATTGCTTAGTACATCTGTTCTTAAATGTTTTAGTGAAAAGCATCTTATGAAACACAGCACTTCAGTATTGTGAAGGCACTAAATGCCGCTATTAAGAATGGTTAATTTTATGTTACGTTACTTTTGCCTCAATATAATTTTTTTTTAACGTAAGTGCTTCACAGTTCTTGCAGTTAGGTTGTTTATTTTTGGCTTTTTTTAGATTGGAATTCTGAAACAGAGAAATTAAATGTACTTCATTGTCTTATTTGGATTGGCTGAGCAGAGAAGAGTGGCTTTTATTACTCACTAGCAATACTAGTCTGTTTTTTTTCTAAGTTGCACTTTTTGATTTCTCAAGGGAATGGGTCTTGTAAATCATGTCTTTACTGAAGACAATTTGAAAAAATTGTATGTTTCAAATCTTGGAATTGGACACACAAGGTATGCCACTACAGGAAAGTGTGAATTAGAAAATTGTCAGCCCTTTGTTGTTGAAACGCTTCATGGGAAGATAGCTGTGGCACATAATGGTGAATTGGTAAATGCTGCTCGATTAAGGAAAAAGGTATGTTGGTTTGTTTTTCCTAAGCCTTTTTAAATGATTAGGATGGGTTAATGAATAAAAGCTGAGGATCTTTATAAAAGGCATTTTCTAATTGTTGCTACCTGTTACTTAACTGCAACAAACAATTGCATCAGAATTATCTGGAGGACTTGTTAGAATTCCAGACTGTAAGATGTCCTCTAGAGTTGGAGACAAGGGTGAGAATATGCATTTTAGACTCACTTTTTGAATGCACTGCTTTAGAGGAGAGATTTGGGAGAGTTGATTTATGGTTGGAAGCATAGAGAAATTAGAGTTGATGGACTTGCTATCTCTTTAACTCTGTTGCTGTGTTCAAAACTTGTGTAAGAAAAACCAAGCTGTTTTTCCTACTCTCAGACTCAACACAGCACACTTCCATGACCAAACAAGGGGGTCTCTTATACCAGCCAGTTTTCCAGAGGACACCAAATAGGTATCCTATAATTCGTTTGTATTCTGATAGTACCAGGAGGTAAAGTCTGGTTCCAGAATTTAAGGGCTCAGTCCCACAAAGACTGTCCCCTGCTTCAGATGCCAGTTGCAAGTCCAGGCCTCTGGTACATCTGACAGCCAGTTATAAATTGGGAGTTCTGCAACAGCCCCAGCCCTGCCTTTGGCTTCAAATGTCACAAAACTGAAGGAAGTGCTTTATTTACATTTACCAGTTTATTAGAAAGAATATTACAGAGGCTACAGCAGAACAGTCTGGTGAAAGGATGGAAAGGGCAGGGTATGTGGGAAGGAGCATGGAGCTTCCATGCCCTTCCCAGGGGCACCACCCTCCAGGCATCTCCAAGTGTTCGGATATCCAGAAGCTCTCTCAACCCAGTCATTGTGGGTTTTTATGGAGGCTTCATGAAGCAGGCATAATTGATTAAATCATCAGCCAGTGGTGATCAGCTCAACCTTTAGCCCTTCTCCCTTTCCCTGGGGGTCCAGAGATGAAACTGAAAGTTCCAACCGTCTGCTTGATTCCCCTGGCAACTAGCCGTCATACTGATACTATGCAGGAGCCCCTAGCTGCCAGTCATCTCAATAGTATACAAAAGGACATCTATCATTTTAGCAATTCGAAGGGTTTTAGGAGCTGTGTACCAGGAAAGAGCAGTATAAAAACCAACATATATATTAATTCTTATATATCACAAAAGCATAAAAATAAAATGGAGTATAAACTTGAAGATGACATGAAAAAAATCACTTGGAAACAATGACAGGAAACTAGAGTCTACAAAAAGGGGACAGAGTGTTTACTTAAACTTTTGGTTCACAGCATATTGTTTAGAGCTCTCTGTCCTAATGATGTCAAATTTGTGCCTATGCTTTCATTCATCATTTCATCTTTCTTTTTTTAAAAAAGTGCTTGGTATCTTTATATTCCTAGTAGCTTCCTTTTATCCATGCAGGCCATTCATTAATGATTGCTGTTTCTTCAGTTTATTAACTCCCAATAATCTTGACTTGGTAACTTAAGAACCTAGTGATATTTAGTAATAGATGGTTACACGCATACCCCAACATCCTTTTAGCATTCTAGAGCTGGGCAATTCACATATGATGGAACAGTTACAGAAGCTGAATAATAATGAACTGCGGGTCAAAAATATCTAGAACCCAGGCTTTTGCACCCTCATTGTCGTTTTGTTTTCAGTTCTGTCTTTGGGCATTTCTTAGAGCTTTGTCCACCCTTGTTTATAGGCATTATAATGACTGTATTGTGCTTTTCTGTCCCCAAATGAAAAAACTGCATGGTTCATTTAAAAATTCAGACAATCACAAAAGTATAAATATGAAGTAAAATTTCTTAAAAATTCACCACTTAGAGGTAACCACTAACTCACTGTTTCTCGACATAACCCCTTAACCAGATGCTAAACTTCATCTCTACATGTTTAGCTCCCTACTGAAAATGTTCTGTAATGCCCATTCAGACTCAGTCTGTGCATGTCCACGGGGCTGCCCTTGTCCTGGTCAGTCCTGCTCAGAACTTTGTAATTATCATAGAGTACACTCAAGCAATATTTATTACATCTGCTGCATTTCATTGTTCAGTACAGTTGATTTCTTTCTTCTATCAGTAATAATCAATGAGGATGGGTAGCCACCATCACTACCACCGACAAACCCAGCTTGGAAGTTATCACTGTAGTGTACTGTTTTTATAGGAATATACCCAAGTTCATCAAGAGTGTTGAGGGTGGAAAAGGTCAGACCCACAAACCAAATTTTCAAGACCCCATACCCTCTTTCAGGTCTGCATATCTTCAAATTTAGTGTTCAAAAGCTTTTGTATACATCTCATAAAGCACTCTTTTTTTCTGCTTGAAAACCTTTTGGATTTCCTACTGCCTCCAGCCATGATCATCCGTTATTAGTATACACATACCATTAGTGCAGGAGTCCTCAACCCCCGTGTCAGGGACTGGTACCAGTCTATGGCTTGTTAGGAACCAGGCCACACAGCAGGAGGTGAGCAGCAAATGAAGCTTCATCTCTATTTATAGCTGTTCCCCATCGCTCACTGTTACCACCTGAGCTTTGCCTCCTGCTAGATCAGCAGCAGCATTAGATCCTCATAGGAGCACGAACCCTATTGTGAGCTGTACATGCAAAGGATATAGGTTGTGCACTCCTTGTGAGAAGCTAATTTATAATGCCTGATGATCTGTCACTGTCTCCCATCACCCCCAGATGGGACTGTCTAGTTGCAGGAAAATAAACTCAGGGCTCCCGCTGATTCTAGATTATGGTGAGTTGTATAATTATTTCATTATATTACAGTGTAGTAATAATAGAAATAAAGTACACAATAAATGTAATGTGCTTGAATCATCCCAAAACCATCCCCTGTCCTCAGTCCATGAAAAAATTGTCTTCCACAAAACCAGTGCCTGGTGCCAAAAAGGTTGGGGTCTGCCGCATTAGTGGAATGCAGGATTTTCATAACTAGGCATCCACAGAATGCCTGATTTCTTTCCATTATGGTTGGCTACTGGGTTAGGGATGCGGTGGAGCTTCCCCTGTGATGATTAAATTCTTCTCTTTTTTTCTATATAGCTTCTGCGTCATGGTATTGGTCTGTCCACAAGTTCTGATAGTGAAATGATTACCCAGTTACTGGCGTATACTCCTCCTCAGGAACAAGATGACACCCCAGACTGGGTAGCAAGGTAAACAGAACCGGACTAAACTTAGAGCTCTAGTAAGGAGAGTTTTGCCTTGCATATGTTTACAACTGAAGTTATTCCTTCAATTATTTAATTAATTCCAGGATTAAAAACTTGATGAAGGAAGCACCCACAGCATACTCCCTGCTTATAATGCACAGAGATGTTATTTATGCAGTACGAGATCCTTATGGAAATCGTCCATTATGCATTGGTCGTCTTATTCCAATGTCTGATATAAATGACAAAGGTAATGAACTTCAGAAGGAATATCATTTCATAATGTTTTTCAGTTATTGTCCTACTGCCGTCAAGCCCTTAACTCTTTAGGTATAGAAAATTGACAGATGGGAGGGAGCTAGGTTAAAAGAAAGAAAAATTGTATTCTTCATTTTAAAAGTACATTTCTTTGAGTACTTCTGAGGATGAGTCCCTTTTCTTTCTTTCTTTCTTTTTTTTTTTTTTAGTCAGAGTTTTGCTCTTGTTGCCCAGGCTGGAATGCAATGGCATGATCTCAGCTCACTGCAATCTCCACCTCCTGGGTTCAAGCGATTCTCCTGCCTCAGCCTCCCGGATAGCTAGGATTACAGGCATGTGCTACCATGCCTAGCTAAATTTTGTATTTTTAGTAGAGACAGGGCTTCTCCATGTTGGTCAGGCTAGTCTTGAACTCTTGACCTCAGGTGATCCGCCTAGCTAGGCCTCCCAAAGTGTTGGAATTATAGGTGTGAGCCACTGTGCCTGACCGGGTGATGAGTCCTTTTTAATGTGTGTCATGGATGTTCCTGTTTTTTCCTGTCTCAATTGCCTATTCATGTCCTTTGCCTAGCTTTTACATTCTGCAGTGTGATTTCAGTGATTTCTAGCCGTGAAATCATAATGTTAGAAGGAATCTTAAAAGATCATTTATTTTACCTTTGGCTCAAGTCAAATGAGGATCCATGTGCTCTTAAAGTAATAGAAATGGCTATTCTATGAGTTTTATTTACTTATTTATTTGGTGTTAGCTGTTCTGTTGAAATAGCCTCTTAAAATTTCTTGAGTCCATTCGTTAACTGAATTGATTTGTGATTTACAGAGAAAGAAACAGAAGGATGGGTGGTGTCTTCAGAATCTTGTAGCTTCTTGTCTATTGGTGCAAGGTAAGTTTTACCTTATTTGGCATATTATCTTTTCCAATGTTGAAAAGAATTTTTTAGACAGTTTTTTATTTATATGAAAGCTTTCTTTCTGATATCTACAAGAAAAAATTTACAAGTGGGTTTTCTTACGCATGTTATGCTCAGCAGTTGCACTGAGTTTAATATTCTAGTAACACCTAATTCTGACGCTGGTATTCTTTCAATATATTATGAAACTTATTTTTAATTTTTTATTTTTTTCATATTTTTCTCTTTTTATGGTACAATATGAACATAGAGACTGATTTTAGAAAGGAAGAACTTCCTCAATGAGTTATGATAGAAAAATGTAAGCCAGGATAAAATGTTTTCTTTATACTGTATTCTTTTAAAATTGAGTTCCACTTAGGGCCCTTAATTTTTGAATTCTACACTAGAACTTTGTGATAACAGAAAGATATACAGAAATCATTGCTTGGAGACATACCACTTTTTAAAAAGTCACTTCTAGATTTTATATTGAATGAATCAATTGTTTCTCTAAGGGAAGGCACTCTGTGTGCTTTATAATTAAAGTTTTCATCAGCCTTAAGGACTAGTTTATTAAAAGTCTTCTTTCTTTAACATTGTTTCCCAAGATATTACCGTGAAGTCTTACCTGGAGAAATCGTGGAAATATCCAGACATAATGTCCAGACTCTTGATATCATACCAAGATCTGAAGGAAACCCAATGGCTTTTTGTATCTTTGAATATGTTTATTTTGCAAGACCAGACAGTATGTTTGAAGGTAAGTAGATTTCTTTTCTTTGAATATTCATATAAATGTTTTAGCTATCTCGTTGAAACATGGCAGTTCTTGGCTCAAAGCCTTACCTGGCTCTTTGAAGGCATATGTTATGGATATGTTATGGATATAGGACAGAGCCCACAAGTCATGAAATCATTATTTTCCCCTTCCGTTTGACTCTTGGATGTTGTTTATTGTTTAGGAGTAAAGACTATGATTTTTAGATCTATATGAAGATCAAATTTTTAAAAAACCACACAGTTGAATTCCTCAGTTTATGTATTTCCACATTCGTATTTTTTACATATTGCTTTCCTTTTTATACTCAATCTATAGAATTCTAGCACTAGTTTTTTAGAATAACACTGTTATACTATGCTAAGTAAAAATACTCTCTCTCCTTTTCCAAACACACCAGACCAAATGGTTTATACAGTAAGATACCGTTGTGGCCAGCAGCTAGCAATTGAAGCACCTGTGGATGCAGATTTGGTTAGCACTGTTCCAGAATCTGCTACGCCTGCTGCTCTTGCTTATGCAGCAAAGGTATTTTCTCTTAATTAACATGCAGTGAATTGCTCTCCTAGCTATGGAATAAGAAATCCTTGCCTATAAAGAGAAACTCATCAACATTTCTAAGGAGAAAGGAATGTTTGGTGGTTTTGTTGGTTTGTTTACAGGTGTTATTTTCCAGCCTTTTTACCCAATGGCACTATTTTAGTGAAAATCACCAAAAAGTTCCCTGAAAAGAAAAAGGGTCACCAAAGCGTTCAGAAATTGGCCCCCTTCTTTTTAAAAAGATAACATCTTGAATATACAGTTGACCCTTGAACAACATGGAGGTTAAAGGTGCCAACCCCCTGCACAGTCAAATCTGTGTATACGTTTTAATGCCCCGAAACTTAACTGCTGATAACCTACTATTGACTAGAAGCCTCACCAATAACATAAACAGTTGATTAACACATATTTTGTATGTTATATGTATTATATACTGTATTCTTGCAATAATGTAAGCTAGGGAAAAGTAAATGCTGTGAAGAAATTCATAAGGAGGAGAAAATATATTTACTATTCCTTAAGTAGAAGTGGATCTTCATAAATGTCTTCATCCCCATTGTTGCCTTCACGTTGAGTAGGCTGAGGAGGGAAGAGGAAAAGAAGGGGCTGGTCTTGCTGTCTCAGGGGTGGCAGAGATGGAAGAAAATCTACCTATAAGTAGACTCATGCACTTCAAACCCATGCTGTTCATCAACTATATATAGACATCAGTGGGAAAATTTACTTAATATTAAAATAAACTTCTTGAATTATCTTCACAACTCACTGGAATATTTGCTTGGTACTAAGTATGGGTAATAATAAAGCTGTTTATGTTCATTTAGCATAATGTTGTTGGTATTATGCTTTATTTTCATAACCAGGTAGATTGTGTAACTATAGTAATCCTGGGGTGTAACATCTAATATTCACTACTTTGGATACTTTATTAGCTTCTAAAAGAATTAATATGCATACATTTTAGAAAAGCTTACCTTAAGAAATGGGTTAATTACCTCCTGTTCCTAAAAAGTATCTCATTGGTCTACTGGTTTTAATTCATTTCTTTAAAAATTATTTTGATAATGAATTTTTCTGACAGTGATTTAATCTTTGTTATATCTTCATATGCTTAGTGCTGTCTTCTAAAACAGAGGAATAATGTTTAAGACAAAAACATTATGAGTCCTAGCAAAACAAATTGTTTTTTCCACCAAGTATATTATGTTTAGTGGTTTTTCTGTTTGCCTTTTTTTCCAAATATTAAAGGAAAATTATTTTGAAATTTTACTTGAATATTGTGGTGGCAACACAATCTAGAGAAAATAGTCACCTATTCTGTGTATTGCTCCTCATTGTCCTTTCATTTCTTCTCTATCAGTGTGGACTTCCATATGTGGAGGTGCTGTGTAAAAACCGATATGTAGGGAGAACCTTCATTCAGCCAAACATGAGGTTAAGACAGCTTGGTGTTGCAAAAAAATTTGGAGTATTGTCAGACAACTTTAAAGGCAAAAGAATTGTCCTTGTAGATGATTCAATTGTGAGAGGCAATACCATCTCACCTATAATAAAACTGCTCAAAGAATCTGGTGCAAAAGAGGTAAGTAATATTAGGACATATTCTAAAACATCAATTAACAATAAGATACTGGCATAAAATTGCAATTCAGGGTAATGAATCAAAATGGATGTTTAATATAATAAATTAACTTTTTTATATCAGTTTGGTTTAGGAATAGCTGTGTAGCAACTTGGAGAACATGTAACAGCCACACTTATATTAAATTTAATCCTTAATAGATTAAAAAGCTCAATATAAAATATTAAATTTGATTTTTTAAGTGTAATAATTTAATTTAAATATTAAAAAGCTGGGTGAGGTAGCTTACGCCTGAAATTCCAGTACTTTGGGAGGTTGAGGCAGGAGGGTTGCTTGAGCTCAGGAGGTTGAGAACAGCCTGGGCAATATAGTGAGACCCTATCTTTACAAAAATAAAAGATAGTAATAAAATTAAATTTTAAAAAACCTAAAATTTTTTAGAAAATTAATTAAAAGACTAGCAACACAAAATATGCTGGGCACAGTGAATCATGCCTATGATTCCAACACTTTGGGAGGCTAAGGTGGGCTTGAGTCCAGGAGTTCAAGACCAGCCTGGGTGACATAGTTAAACCCCGCCTCTCCTAAAAATACAAAAAATGGGTGGGTCGTGGTGGCACATGCCTGTAATCCGGCTGAGGTGGGAGGATGGCTTGAGTCCAGGAGGTGGAGGTTGCAGTGAGCCGAATCGATCTCAAAAAAAAGGACTAAAAATACAAAATGGAATGCTAAAACTAACGGAGTATTAATTGCCTTCTCTGCTTAAAGACATATAACCAATCCCATTGTAATACCTTTGACTTGTTTTTTTTTTAAGACAGTGTTTGGCTCTGTTGCCCAGGCTGGAATGCTATGGCACCATCTCAGCTCACTGCAACCCCTGCTTCCAGGGCTCAAGTAATCTTCCCACCTCAGCCTCCTGAGTAGCTGGGACTACAGGCATGCACCATCACAGCCAGAATAATTTTTGGTATTTTTAGTAGAGATGGGGTTTCACCATGCTGCCCAAGCTGGTCTGAAGCTCCTGGGTACAAGTGATCCACCTGCCTTGGCCTCCTAAAGTGTTAGGATTACAGGCATGAGCCACCATGCCTGGCCAAGTTATTTTTTAATATCACTTTATGTCTTTTTTTTTTCCTTGATAGCAGGACTCACTGTGCCAGCTGGTTGGAATGCAGTGGTTCGATCTCAGCTCACTGTATCTCTGCTTCCTGGGCTCAAGCGATTCCGCCACTATAGCCTCCCAAGTAGCTAGGACCATAAGCACACAATACCACGCCTGGCTAATTTTTTGTATTTTTTTTTTTTTTTTTTGTTTGAGACGGAGTTTCGCTCTTGTTACCCAGGCTGGAGTGCAATGGCGCGATCTCGGCTCACCGCAACCTCCGCCTCCTGGGTTCAGGCAATTCTCCTGCCTCAGCCTCCTGAGTAGCTGGGACTACAGACACGTGCCACCATGCCCAGCTAATTTTTTGTAGTTTTAGTAGAGATGGGGTTTCACCGTGTTGACCACGATGGTCTCGATCTCTTGACCTGGTGATCCACCTGCCTCGGCCTCCCAAAGTGCTGGGATTACAGGCTTGAGCCACTGCGCCCTGCCCAATTTTTTGTATTTTTTAGTAGAGGCAGGGTTTCACCATGTTGCCCAGGCTGGTTTCAAACTCCTGAGCTCAGGCCATCCACCCCCCACAGTGTCCCAAAGTGCTGAGATTACAGGTGTGAACCACCCACACCTGGCCTCACTTTATGTCTTGAAAAATTTGTAATTTTTATTTTTTAAATTGACAAATGTATATATGTATTATATCCAACATGAAGTTTTAATATGTATATATATAGATAGATAGTTATATTTTAAGATTCCAAAGCTTATTCTATTTCAGTAGCTCATACTACAGAAGTGAGATGCCATTTACAACTAACAGTTGAGTAAATTTAAAAATAAAATCTCAGCCTAAGCAACATAGTAAGACCCTCATCTCTGAAAAATGAAAAATAAAATCTGTAGAAAAAAGTGGGATGAAAAGAAGCATGCCAATTTATTTAAAAAATTTGCAAGATAATTGTGATTATGATTTTCCAGCCTTTTTTATACCTGTGTTTAGGATTATGATAATCTCACTCTGGAAGTCTGTGAAAATTATGTAATAGATACAGGGATTTAATGTAAGTTCCACATTGATTGCAATAGTGAAAAAGATAAAGTCAAAGAACTTGGAAATGGCTTAAATATCTCCTTGTTGAAGAATATAGTTTAGTAAATTGATATATCAATGTGATGAAATATGATACAGCCATTAAATACTAAGAAGACTGCATAGCACGGGAAATAAAGGAAATGTAAAAAGTAAATGTGGGGCCGGGCGTGGTGGCTCACGCCTGTAATCCCAGCACTTTGGGAGGCCGAGATGGGTGGATCACCTGAGGTCACGAGTTCGAGACCAGCCTGGTCAACATGGTGACGCCCCGTCTCTATTTAAAAAAGTAAAAATAAATAAATAAAATAAAATAAAAAAATAAAGAAAAAGTAAATGTGGACACGGAGTATAGCCATATAAATGTGCCTGATGTAAGGCAAAAAATAATAGACAAAAACAGCTCTGTGGTAGTAGTAAAGTCTTTGTTATAACCTGGTAAATAGTATTTTTCTTTTTAAAATGGTAAGATAAGGGATAGGCAGAAGTATCAGGTATTACAAGAGAAAATCTAAGTGGCTCTAGGAATGTAAAGACATCAAATGAGAAGTAGGATATCTAGAGAAAGAAAATTCCTCATGATTAGGTGACAGAAAGAAAAACAAGAAGCAGCTTTGTAGAAAGAACCCTTTATTAGTGGCTGACATAGTGAAATTCTTGTTCAGGATACTTTGGAATCTGTAGCAAGGCTACACCAAGTAGGATTCTCTAATAATGATTTGATTTATCTGAGTAGTTCTGACTGAACACTGCAGTTCTGTGTTTACCACATGATTTTCCAGGATTCTTTTTCATGTGCTACTCAGTGAAACAAATTCTATAGTATGTTCTTTTTTACCCGTATGTTGTTACTGAATATTCTGCAAAACAATTTTATATTGTATTTGCATAATGAAAGAATTTTGCATAGTCTTATTACAAAACTTGTGTGCAATGATTTCTTTCCAAGGTACACATTCGAGTAGCTTCACCACCAGTTAAATATCCATGCTTCATGGGAATAAACATTCCTACAAAAGAAGAGCTCATTGCCAATAAACCAGAATTTGATCACCTTGCAGAATATCTAGGTAGGTATTAAAATTTCTGTAAACTGGGGCCGGGCGCGGTGGCTCAAGCCTGTAATCCCAGCACTTTGGGAGGCCGAGGCGGGTGGATCACGAGGTCAAGAGATCGAGACCATCCTGGTCAACACGGTGAAACCCCGTCTCTACTAAAACTACAAAAAATTAGCTGGGCATGGTGGCACGTGTCTGTAGTCCCAGCTACTCAGGAGGCTGAGGCAGGAGAATTGCCTGAACCCAGGAGGCAGAGGTTGCGGTGAGCCGAGATCGCGCCATTGCACTCCAGCCAGGGTAACAAGAACGAAACTCCGTCTCAAAAAAAAAAAAATAAAAAAAAAAAATTCTATAAACTGATTATTAACAGAAAATCCAAAGCTTGACAGTCTTTACACCATTAGTAAAAAGGAGTATTCAATGTTTGTTAAAAGTATTTATACATATTAAGCAGATACTGAATATTATTCTCAATAGTGAGAGTAGTGGGCATGGGCAGACACTATAGAAAGTCCTGTGTTGGAGAGATGAGATAAGGAAGAAGTGGTTTCCAGGTGGAGGAAAGTGCAAGCATATCACTTAAAACCTCCCAAAAGTCAGAGCCCAAGAAAAGCCAAATAATTTAATCAGATTCTAACAGAGTAATTTGGATTTGGATACAAATCACGAAGTAAAAAGTTTGTGTAGGCTCATATTCAATAATGAGATCAGGAGACTTCAAGATCTAAGTTATCCTGGATAAGACACCTTACTTTCAAAATCAGGTGATGTATAAACTGTGTAAATAACACATGCTATTTCTTCATTGTGCCTGGGTACCTCCACACCATTTGTTTGTGGCTGGTGTTTCTTTTGACCTGTCATGCATGTGCCTTACTGGTTAAATATTTTTAAATATCACTCTGATGGGTGTCATACATGTTATGAGCACTCACACTTTGCCAGAAATTATGCTGCTTAGATCATCTATATTATCATGGTAACATCACAAAAATTCTACATTTAGGCAATGTTTCCCACATCTTAGATAGATGCAAAAATAGACTTAGAAAAAGTAAGTGAACTTAAGCTTAAATTTGAGCCTAGATCTTTCTGACTTTAAATTCCATTTTCTCAATTAAGAAAATTATGCCCAAAGCACTCTAATTCTATTCTAGACATGAAGCCTCCTCTGCTGTTTCAGACTGTTATCCCTTAGATTCCAATTTAAATTTTTAAAAATAAAGGAACTGAGTTTTATTGATTTATTTTTTCCTTTTTTTAAAAGAAAGGCTTAAGGAGAAATTTTTATCCTAGCTTATTCTGTTCGTAACCATTCTCTTTTGAAGCATTTCTTCCTTTCTAAAGGAATTCTCATTACATTTTAATTTTTCCCTCTTTTTCTCTTTAGGAGCAAACAGTGTTGTGTATCTGTCAGTAGAAGGACTGGTTTCATCTGTACAAGAAGGGATAAAATTTAAAAAACAAAAAGAGAAGAAGCACGACATTATGATCCAAGAAAATGGAAATGGTGTGGAATGTTTTGAAAGGAGCGGTCACTGTACAGCTTGTCTCACTGGAAAATATCCTGTAGAATTGGAATGGTAGCTGATACGGTTGGATGTGTTATTTCAATATAGAAAGTTGGTCAAGAAGTTATAGTGGTCACACCTCATTTATTTACTGTTACTCAGTTGGTACAATGTAAAATGCCATGCTTATGTTTACCTTTATAAGTTTTGAGATTTTTTTTTTCCGAAAAGGATACCAAAGTGTGATAACTGAACATTTCTAATGGCATACAACAATATGTGGTGTTCTTTTTTTACACAAGCATTGGCTAGCCTTTTTAACCAAGTCAGAGAAGGCAGGTAGTCACTGACATTTGCCAAGTCCATGCTTTAAAGGGTTTGCAAGAAGTTAGAGTTAAGATAGGAGAGGTGACGCCAACAAGACAGGTGAGTTAAATGTAACATTTCACACAAAATTTGAATAGAATACGTTATACCTCATAGGTGTCTAGCCTCTACAGTTCTGTCTGTAGTTATGACCTTGACTTCCCTAACTGTAGACATATCTTTAAAAAAACTAACAAAAAAAACAAAATATAAGCTGTGGTGCCTCAGTTTCCCCACATGTGCAATGGGATACTTATATTATTAAATTAAATAGTCAATAGAAATGTGAATAAGTGAGTAGAGCCATCATTTCACCTCTAATTTTAGGGCAGCTCATGCTTGTTAGTGTTTGAAAAGCTAATAATTATTAACTTTTTTGAAACTGGTTTACAATTAAGATTTCATTATAATGGAAGGAAACATAAATTGGCAGATCTTTGCCATCTCTCTTTGAGATGTCCTAAAAAGGGTTGTAAAAATCTGTGAAAAAGTTTTTCTTACATTTGACTAGAAAATGTGATCCATAGTATTTAGTGCCCTGATAGTATAAGCTCAACAAGTAACCTGGTACATTTGAAACAAAAACCAAATTTTTAGATTCAAACAAACCTTTTATCCTTAATTTAATTAATTATCATATGCTTTTTTAATGAAGTGCTTGATCACTTGCAAGCATATATACATGTAGATGTACACATACATATTGTTGCAATTGAGTGATCAAGTAGAGACACAATAGGGGCCAATTTTGTTTAAGGGTCAAAGTGACAACCACTTTGGGAAAGTATCAATTTATAATCCAAGTCCAAGTATCGTAATCATTTTTTTCTACTTTATTAAGATCTAATGAAATTGATTTCTTTTTGGAACCTTTTTCTTGTAACATCTGAGATTTAGAAGTTTAAGATGACTTGACCCCAAACTCCTGTTTATATAAGAACTTTTAAACATAAAAGTGTTTGTTTCTGTTGTGTTACCACAATTTGATGTATATAGTGTCCAGATCCATTTAGAAATTTAATATTTATTAGTAACTGAAACTGTTTGTCTTCCTTTGGTATATAGTCTCACATGTTATATTACAGCAGGCCAAGATAAAATCTTGACAGCTCTTTAAGCCCACGTGCAGCAGTGGGTCAGATAACCCTGTGGCAGTGACACGGGCAAATTGGCATTTGAATAAAGCCCTGGGACCACCTCAGCATGTGTAGCCTCTTGTCTGAAATGTATTCCCCATGGCAGCATGGAGGAGGCAAGACCTGTGGGTCAATCTTGAACTGGCCTTACTTTGAATTTTAAAACAAGAGACTCAGGGAAAGTACTAAACCAAAATCTCTGATTTTACTTTTGTGTTTTCTGTAGTTTTTATTTTATTTTACTGAGATGCTTTTGTAAAGGAAAATAATACTGGGACAGTTTGATAATTCTACAGATTTCTTAATATTTCTCCATCATGGCCTTTTACTTCACAATTTTCTGAAGTTTTTTTTGTTTTTTGTTTTTTACCAATTTAATTTCAAATGTTTAACTGCTTTAAATTTATATAAGTAGAGTATTATAAACTACAGAGATGAAAAATGTGTTTTCATGGGATTTATATTGTGAGCTAAACTAAGCCTACTTTTTGTGACTTCTTTGTGATGCCTTGTGGACAAATATGTGTAATAAGTATGTTTAAATATACGTGTATGCTTTTTTTTTCATAGTGACTTCTACTTATGCATTATGGTAAACAGCATGAAGAAAACTTCCAGGCTGTTCCTGGCACCAGCTAGTGATATCGTATTTCTCTGATCCAGGCGTTTCAATAAATAGGCCATCTCTTATGAACCAGGCAAAACTGCTCGTTGACAATGAGGGACAAATAAAGTAATTAGAAATGCAATTCTAAGGAAGCAGCACAGTAGTGGCAAGTTCTTTGGAAGCACTGTGGGGAAAGAGTGTCATGGAAGAGGAGGATTAGATTTTCAAAGTGTGGAGTTGGGTAGGTAAATGAATAAACTGTAGACATACAGACAATAGAATATTATTCAGTGCTTAAAAGAAATGAGCATCAGGCCATTCAGTGACATGGAAGGAATGTAAATTAACTAAGTGAAAGGTGCCACTCTGAAAATACTGCATACTTCATATCGAAGGTATCCAAAGGAAAAGTCTCCCATGCTCAGGATAAACTGGTCACAGACAGGAAAATATCCTGTAGAATTGGAATGGTAGCTGATAGGGTTGGATGTGTTATTTCAATATAGAAAGTTGGTCAAGAAGTTATAGTGGTCACACCTCATTTATTTACTGTTACTCAGTTGGTACAATGTAAAATGCCATGCTTATGTTTACCTTTATACAGGTGCGAGCCACCATGTCCAAACTTTAAGATTGCAACATAGAAACCCTGCCTTGAGCTTTCCAGCCTGCAGGCTTGCTCTATAGATTTCTGACTTGTCAGCCCCTGTGAAAAAAATCAATCTCTTTCCAGATATTTATATCCTTTTGGTTCTGTTTCTCTGTAGAACCCTAATTCAACAGGCTAACTTTCTTGCAAACTTTCTCATCCTTCCATTCTACTTTTTTTTTTTGGGAGATGGAGTCTCTGTTGCCCAGGCTGGAATGCAGTGGCCTCCTGGGTTTAAGCAATCCTCCTGTCTCAGCCTCCCCGGTAGCTGGGGCTACAGGGGCACACCACCACACTGGCTAATTTTTGTAGTTTTAGTAGAGATGGTTTTACCATGTTGGCCAGGCTGGTCTTGAACTCCTAACCTCAGGTAATCCACCCGCCTGAGCCTCCAAAAGCGCTGGGATTATAGGCGTGAGCCACCACGCCCAGCCTTCCATTCTGCTTTCACAATTACCTGTCCTTTCCTGATGCCCTGTGAAGAGGTGCCTTCCACCATGACTTTAAGTTTCCTGAGGCATCCCCAGCCATGCAGAACTGTGAGTCAATTAAACCTCTTTTCTTTATAAATTACCCAGTCTCAGGTATTTTCCTTTAAGCAATGTGAGACTGGACTAATAACACCTGTCAAAACACCAAGCCTGAAAAACCCAACCACTAATTTGCTCTCTGCCTTCTCCCAAGCAGCTGAACACTTAGAGTGAATCACACAATGCCTCATTATCCCAATTATAATATGTGCAACAAGAGCACATAACAGGCGGGCCTAACCTTGCTTTCAAGTAGGGTCAGGGATTTTCCAAATTATTTTTGAACTTTTTTTTTTTTTTAAGGAAACAATGACATTGACAACTGAGAGATGAGCCCTAAAATACGTAGAATGTGCCAGTCAAGGTACAAAGTATCAGCAGGGTTCAGGGTAGACATTTGATATTTCCCTGCAACTGGAACAATGTAAGTGGATGGAGAAGAGTAAAAAGTTTGGGAAACAAGCACCTAAGACATGAATCCCTGCTATAAAGGTATTTACTATTTAGTATAGGAGGTCAGATTTGGAAATAATGAAGCCATAGTAACAACTGATGCTGTAAGACATGTGTGTTGCTGTCTGGGAAGGGTCTGGAATTGAAACCTATTTCAAAGTTAATAAGAAAGCCTGTTAGCTGTTTTATGGCAGTAGCCCTGGATTTCTGGGTCAGTGACAAAGAACTTTGTAACTCATGGCAAAAGCAGAAGCCAGAACTTCATGTGGATGCCAGTTTTCCATGTCCCCCAAGTCCCACTGGGATGATGAAGATGGGCCTCCATGGATATCTGCACATGCAGTCAATGGGTTATACTACAGGAGAGGAGCACTGAGTTTACTAATTTTGTATTTAAGTGGACGGAAGCCTACTTACTCTTCGGGAAGAATACTTCAGCTATGAAACTGATCATCCCAAACAATCCTGAAAAATGACCTGGGTAAAGAGCAGTTAGGACCTTATGTTCTTGGCAAACCAAGCAAGAATTTGCAGGTCCCATGACAAATGCCCCCAAGGGATGGTATGGTGGGTTCATGGCATGAAGTTTGAGAGAGTTTGGATAAATTATTCTTTAGGGCTTGAAGAAAGACATCACTGAGGAAGTGATGTTTAAGCTGTATTTTCATCACGCAGGTATAGGGAGAGAAGGGTCTTTCAGCCTGAGCCCAGCCAAAACAGGTGTGGAATCAAGATAAGGACTTTGTATGCTCAGAACTCTTGCTAGCCTCTCAATATGACTAGAGTTTACAGTAACAGGCGCGGGGAATGTGGAAGATGGGTGGGGGGGCAGTGGCCTGCTGCGAGAGATAAGGCTAGAAAGAAAATGAACTATCTTGTTTACCTTGCTGAAGAGTCTGAATGTTATGCAGGCAATGAGGGATCATTGAAGCTTCTTATTTCATAGCAGAAGAATGCTATGACTGTTTTGGTATGTTTTAGAATGATCACCCTGGATTATCACGTAAAAATGCTGTCTTAAACACAGTGTTCTACATTTGCTCCCTAAGACTCCCTGAAAATGATTAACAGGAATTTTAAAGAGTCATAAACCCTTGAGGGTTAAATAAAAGGAATAATGAAAATAAAGTTATATTCAGGATGCAATTTTGGGTAACAGAAATAGAAAAAAAAAAGAAAATAAAATTCTGGAATCAATAGCAAAGGGCTCAGTTGACTTGAAAAAGTTGACTTCTAAACCCCCAGTGAGTAAAACCAACAAGCAATTCTATTTGTATCACAGAACCCCCTAAAAAGCTCAGAAACTGTTTTCTGGAAGTAGAAGTCAAGAGGGTAACTAAAAGCACTGGAAGTTCTTTTAGGAGAGTGTTACATCCTTTATGCCACCCCCAACCTTATTCTGAAGGCTTTTTTAAAAGTGTTCAGAAGTAAAATGAGGTCTCTATTGGAGGACACCAAGCACCTAAAATAAGAGAATTAAGTGAAATTTGTACTAAATTCTGAGACATACCCCACCCTCCACACCCCTCTTCCTCTCCCACTTGATTTTCAACAAATGTCCCACGGACTCGAGTTTCCCATCAACTTTTAAATATCCCCCCACTTAAATACGAGCAGATAAGGACCACCAGACATCCTAGAAAAGCCTCTAATATGAACGATGGATCACAAAAGCAACAGAAGAAAGAAAAAGAGGAAACTTGAGGAAAATAGATACCATACCGCAAGGGAAGAAAGATTTTAAAAAGATATCAATATCAGAGAGTTGGAAGATGATACTGAATAAAACAATCATTTTGGCAGAAGTTTTGAGTCAATTAGAGGCAAACAACACTGAAAACGTTTTAGGAAAAAGCTGACCAAGAAGACCTGAACTGAAGTAGCAGTAATGGCGATTCATGACATTTAAAAAACGCAGGTTCTAGACCCCTCACTAGAAAACTAGGGGATGAGCCTTTGAGGGTGGAGTCCAGGAATCTGGAATCTTTTAAAACATCACCGCTGGCAAGCTGGGTGACGGTCTCGAGACTGGTAACCAGAGGACATAGGGTCTAATTGGATGTAAGAGGGTAAGAAAGTGAGAAGGTTGTTAACTGGCTGGCTGGGTGGATGATGGTGTCATCCCAATATAGAAACATAGACAAGATACGCGTTTGCCTGCTTCCACCCTAAATACATAAATAAATAAGCCTGTGTTAGTTTGAGTAGCCCATGGTACATCTTGGAAAAGTATAGTTGGCATGTGGAGATATTTTTTGCTTAGATTAGTGCCACAGTTTTCTTGTCACCAACAACTATGGCTGCGAGAGCGTCCTATGCTTTTTTTTTTTTTTTTTCACGCAGTGTTTAGATTCAGAGCTGTCTTCGAAGTCCTTCCCCTGGCTAACCCCCTTCGAACAAAAAATCCCGATTACTCTGCCATCAGGCAGTAGCTTTAAAACACCACTGTTAGTGCCCTTGATACTGATTGTAATAATTGACATGTCACCAACTGTTAACAATTCCCTTGGAAACAAAAACGTCTATTCTGGCACATAGTTTACAAAACTCCACCTCGGACCTGCTTTAATTTCTTTACAGGTCCTAGTAAAAGCTCCAAATTCGTTTGTTATCGTTTCAATCTGCTTCTCAATTAAAATGTCAGCATCATGGTAACAGGAATTTCGTTTGCAGGCGTCACTGCTGCAGCCATATCTCCAGCAGGTTTTCAGAAAATGTCATTGGTTGAAGGCTAATAACTCTTTATTTCACAATGATTTCATCTCTCTTCACATCAACTCTAGGCGATGCTTTTATTTTCACCTGTGGCCCAAAATTCAAAAGTCTTGCCCAGAGCTTTTTGGCAAGTACGAAAGGGTTATGGTTCCAAGCTGGTCAGCTCCAAAGTCCTTGCAAATCCGGTCCGAGACCAGGTGCGAACCCAGGGATCGCCGGAGCGGATATCCAAAAGTTAAAAACCCTACCGAACTCTTCTCTCAACTTGGCGCCTCGCACTGACGTCACGCGGCGACGCGAAAGATTTACGTGAGGGGCCGCGCTCTGGGGTAGCTTTACGGCTTCGGGGAGCGGCTGTTTCGAGGTGAGAAGCGTCCGCGAGGAGCTGTTGAGGAAAGGTCCGCATGCGATTAAACCTAATCCGCGAGACTTGCTAAGTGAGTCGCGGCCGGACGCAGTGTCCGGCGGGGGTCTGCGTGAGGGAGGCAAAGTGCCGCGAGGCCTGAGGCTGCTTCCACATAGATTTGCTCATCTTCAGGACCCCTGCCTGGTCTCGGATTTGATACATTGGGGTCTGGCGTGCTGGTGTGGTTCAGACTACCCCTGACCTGTG